TTCCCTTCCTGTTGACCGACTCTCTGGCCACTCCTAAATCCCAACCAGTTTTTCCTTTGACCTGAACCTCAAAGTAAAATCTGCCTGAAGAGAAACTCTGCTTTCCTAAGACACTAACACATTTAGAAAATCTCTCTGGTTTGTCTGGGAGATTCTTCTTCACATCACCACAGTGGACTTGTTTCCCATCATCAGACAGGATGAGGTTAGGATGTGCTGTATCAGGGTCCAGAGTCACATCCACTGCAAACTGCTGGACCCTCTTCAGCTCAGCCTCAAACAGCTTCTTCATCTGTTTACTAAGCGTCTCCTCTACCTGAGCCACAGCTCTCACCACAGTCCCCTCATATGACGGACAGACTCTAACTTCTGTCCCGTCCTTGGTGGGTGCAGCAGCTTTCAGGGAGGAGAAGCTCTGGAGGAGGTGGAGGTGGTCTTCAGAGTGTGAGAGCTGCTCCACCTCAGTGCTCCTCTTCCTCAGCTCAGAGATTTCCTGTTCCAGCTCTGTGATGAAGCCTTCAGCCTGTTGCTCTGTGGTTTCCTGTTGCTCTTCGATCTCCTTGATGAGCTGGATCAGGCCCCTCTCAACAGACTCCTTCAGAGCAGTGAAGACCTGAACACCTGCTGCTTTCTCTCTGGCTGCACCTTCTTTACTGATCCTGACTGACTGTTTGAGCTCCTCAATCTTCTCTCGTCTCTTCTGGATCATCTGCTGAATCTCGGCCTCTGTCTTCCCCAGCTCTGCCTTCTTTCCTTCATATTCTTCTTTCAGAGGAACAAACTCATGTGTCCTGTGCTCTAAAACAGAGCAGAGCATGCAGACACACATCTGGTCGGTCTTACAGAACAGCTCCAGAAGTTTATCATGCTGCCTACACATCCTGCCTTCCAGGTTCTTCACAGGCTCAACCAGCTGATGTCTTTTCAGACCTGGAGCTGTCAGATGAGGCTCCAGGTGAGTCTCACAGTAGGAGGTCAGACTCACCAGGCAGGACTTCAGGGCCTTCACTTTGGTTCCAGTGCAGGCATCACAGGGAACTTCTCCTGGTTTGGCAGCTTGTTGCTCTGAGCTGCTGCTGCTGGCTTTCTGTTGGGCTTCACGTCTGAACTCAGCGACCATCTCAGAGATGAAGGTTTTGACCTGTAGCTCAGGTCTTTTCTTGAAAGCCTTTTTACACATGGGACACTTATAAGGGACATTAACATGCCAGTGGTGAGTGATACAGATTTTGCAGTAGTTGTGTCCACATGGTGTGGAGACTGGATCAGTGAACACGTCCAGACAGATGGAGCACAGAAACTGGTCTTCAGATCGTGGACTCCTGGCACCAGACATGTCTACACACTGAGAACAGAAGTGTGGCATTAAAAAGTATTAATACTGGAAAAATGACAATCTTCTGATTTTTTTGTTAACCTAAGTCTTTTTCAGTGCCAAA